TAAAAATTTATATTTAAGAAAAAATTGTATTTAGATGCAGAAAAAATTATGATGCTGGAAAGGTTTTGACCGATTAAAACCTCGTGAGTTTTGATGATAACCCACTTGATTGGTTACCATTTTTATGATATCTGTTGATGGGTTGTAAGTTTTTCTGGTATCATGTCTAGCATCATAATCGGTCATAAATGTGTCTAGACCTGGCAAAAAGTTGATTCAACCCGCGAACCCAACCCGAAAAAACAGGGTTAGGGTCTCATAGTTAGCTACCCGAATGTAAAAACGATCGACCCAACCCGAAAAAACTGGGTTGGGTCATTGGTCAAGCCGCTGACCTGATTGTCAAGTCTAATTGGGATTATTTATGCATTGTTAGAAGTTTCCACTCTTTAATTTTTCTATTTAGTCTTTACTTTTTATTGTTTACTCTTTAAATTGTTAAATGTTCAAGTATTTTATTTTATATTTGGAATTTTAAGATTAATTCTTTTAATTTTGACATTTTTTATGTAATTTTTCTTTATTTTTTTAAATTTTAATTATTTTTTGAGATAACCCAAATTGACCCATGAGTCAACCCTAACCCGAATATTTGACAACGCAACCCAAAATCAATCCAAAGCACCTTGACCTAACCCGAACCCAACCTAATTGCCAGGTATAGATGTGTCTGTCTGTTTCTATTTATCTTCTTTGTGTGTGAGAGAATTTCCCAAAGTGCAATGCTATTGCTCAAAGGCTTGGGAAAGAGCTCGGATGTTCTAAGTTGTTATTATATCAACTTACCAAGTATAATTGAGTCAGGCCTAATTATCCCAACTAATAATTCGTTTGGCTTTGAGTCCTTACTATAGAACCGATTAATAATCGAACTATCGAAGTGTGACCGGTCAGCCAGTTAGAACCAATCGGCAACAGACCTCTAACTATAATTCCATGATTAGACAGACAGACAGACAGACACTATTGTAAGTCACGGTTGACGGGTCTTATATTCAATTAAAAAAAAAAAATCTCTGTACTTTTCAAACGTATCTATATCATTACCTGTAGATAAGAGGTAGAGCTCCATATAGTTACGGAGAAGCAAATCAGATTGCTGAATGCTGCCATCGTGCCAAATATGGGTCCCCCCAAACCATCTCCACCCAACTGATGCAGTGATGCTTCCTCATGTACTTAATTGTTTTGGAGCTTTTGGCTGGGGGAAAATGGGTGAAGGGGCGGGGCTAGCCCACATGTGTGTTCCTTAATCCTTACTATTAAAATGCACCTCTCCTTTTGCTTTTACTTTTACCTCTCTCTCTCTCTCTCTAGTCTATACTCCATTACTAACAAATCCCTAGCTTAATCACTAAGCAGAACTCAACTTTTTGTTCAACTTACTCGCTTTGTTCCTCTATAACTTTAGAAGGTGTCTTTTTGCAAATACAAAACACTTTGTGATTATGAGTTGTGATTTTTCGCAATCGGAGCATCTTCTTTATTTAACATGGGATTTCAAATGCCTGCCCCAAGAGCCTCAGCAAGGATTTCAGTCTTTTGGTGGCGTTTTAAAGTTTGAAGTCTGATAATCTCTGAAATTTAATTAGATTTTATTAAACCTTATTTGTTTTTTCTGTCTAAACAGTTTTCGTACAAAATTTGATTAGACTATTAAATGGGATTTTGATTCCCATTGATCAAGAATCTCATGTTCATTTTTCAGATTAATATGGGGGCTAAGAAAGTTTATTTTCTTAGGTATCCATCTTGTAGATAGGTAAATAACTTTTTCATCTAGAAGGAAAATTGCTAACACTTGAATGGGACAAAAATGTCTATTTTAATAATAATTTTTTATGACTAAAATGGTCATTATCTTATTTACATGAGAAATAAAAGAACATAGATAAATGCATTTATCCAGATAAGTATTTTTTAAAAAAAAACTTATCTAAATAATTACATTTACCTAAATAAATAATTTATCAAAAAACCAAGAAGACCAAAAGTTTTGAAGGGTCACAGGGGCTGCAGGGGGAGATGCACAAGAATATGAATAGTTGTAAGAGATACAATCCAACACATGAAAAAGAAGAATTAGATAGCCACTCATCTAGCTGCAATTTTGGTAAATAAATGGCGATATTTCAGACTTGGCAAGTTGAACCTTAGCCTGGTTCTTTTCATTAATTTGAAACTGGTTCCATCTTCAGTTATAGCGGCATGATCAGGATCAGACTTTGTTGAACCCCTACTACTTAAAGCAATGAAGCATTCCAAGGATAATTATAATTTATAGCCTAAAATATTAGTAAAGGTTATTATGCGTGTTGTTGATATGACATTGGTGGAGAGTTTAAGAGCTTGCTCATTGGGCCAGGAAAAGAAAAAAGATGAAAAGAGAGTGGGATTCCATGCTTGGTGTCAATGTCATGTCTCATCTCTTCAGCTTTTATTGGCTTGATGCATGCATTTAATGGCATTCATTATTATGAGTATGTTTAGAAAACTGTTGAAGAATAATTTTAAAAACCCACAGCCCAACTTTTTTGAGTGGGTCTGCTCACCTAACTTATTTATGATATTATTGGCTGAATCCAAGGGTGGACTTATTTTTGAATTTTCAAGCTGATAAATTTCATTGTTGAGTCTAATGGTTGAAACCGTTGGGCTTCTAGGCATCTGGTTCTATTTCAGCTCTGAACCGTTTTTTGTTTTTGTCAAGAAACTGTTGAATGTTGATTTAGTAAATAATATACTGATTCGGGTGATTGAACCTTGATCTATTTGATACAGACAATGACTTCTTTTATTAAAATTGCAATAGACTGTTTGTTTGGACTAGAAGGTTGAACTTCTGACTTCAAAACTGGTGGGCAAAGCAATTTTAGTTCTGAATTGATTTTTAAAACATTGAATAAAATAATAAAAAGTATAATAATCATTTCATCTTTATCCAAAGTCATTGAAGAAATGAAAAAAGATCACATCCCCTTGATAACTTATTTAATAAAAATATAAAATAATAAATTATTTAATTCAGCCATTTCAGCTGCTAATAAACAATTCTTACAAAATAAGAGATTTTAACTGTCCAGTCCACCTTTAAAAATCTTAACTCTACCAAAGAGGTAGAATGAATCTTACCCATGAATTGATACCAAATTTACGGACATAATGCGATTTATAGGGGAAGGCTGCTAACAAACAGTTCCCACCAAATAATTGAAGCTAAGGAGGCCAAGAATAGAGCTGAGGTCCGGCCTGGGCCCATAAAACAATGCGGGCTTCTTGTCTCGTTCGGTGGACTACAGGACCAAGATTTTCTTGTCAATCAGTTCCCCTAGCGGAGACGAATATAAAACATGCGGAATATCAACTCTCTGCAGAGGACCATTCACCACATACCACGTCAGCTTTGTACACGTGGGTCTCCCCACTTGTCAAGCCGACGTGGACGCCGTGGAGGATGGGCAATCTGCTAACGTTTTCACATTTGCTTATAATAGGCGGAAGGAACCTGTCCATCACTCCATCACTCCATGGTGGATGGTATTATGTCTGTTGATATTGTTGATATGTAAACACTTGGCAACTTGGAGTGGGTATCTGGTAAAAGGAGCCAAAATTCAGGGTCACATCTTTCTCATTTTATCAAAGGGAAATTGTTCAAACCCCTCATCAGTTTTTCCGAAATCTCTTAAACCCACCACAACTTTTCAAAACGTCAAAAAGTTCACCATCTCAGTAAGATAACAATAGCTTTACTAACGGATATCATTATTTTACCATTTTACCCTTTATTATTTTCGGTCCATTTTGCAATACTAAAATTACCCCCGTCGTTATTCAACCCAAAACCCAATCATTAGCCTCTGCTTTCTTGCTCTTTCGGCCGCTGCTTCCCCTTTGTTTGAGATTGAAGAACAGGATGTGTCTCTGAAATGAAATGTGAATCATATTTTTGCCTCTCTTTTCGTATGGACTGGAAAATCCGCGCTGCTGATTCAGTTGCAGACCTACGATTGTGAGGCACCACCCTGATCACTCTTGTCTGCTGATCACTATTCTGAGTCTGGAGTACTGGATTCTGAACCTGCACAGTTAGAGCCATGGGAAAAAGAGGAAATGGACCTCTTGGGCAACATTATTTGCCCCAGTACACAGTGTCCAATCACAAGGACTGCTTGCTGTGCTCCCTTGGAGTTCACTATCTATGGACATCTGAAACTTCCAATTTGCATCCCTACCCCTGTGAGTCATAAATCAAGAAACTAAAAGTTGAGGTCTTAAGGAAGAATTTATCTTGAGCTCAGTGAATTGGAGAATTGAATATTACTTTTGGGTGGAACCATAAGCCATTAGTGCTATGACTATGCATTTATCAATGATTAATGTAGGAAGAAAGGAGACCATATGGAAGTTCATTGGAGCAAGTCTCCCCACAAATATATTTCTTATGAAGCTCCACGGTGCAATGAATTGAGAATGCAATTTCAATTTTGAATGTTCATTTATCCATGTTCAGAATCCAGACAACACATTTGATAAGAACACCCTTGAACTAGTTACTCCATGGGAACCCTAGCTAGCTAGCCACCTAATAAATTTTCTCAATGTGATCTTATCCTGTTTATCAGTATCCATTAAGACAAATTTGACAGGTGTGTCCGTGTGCCATCATCAATCAAGATAAGGCATAGGGTTATGAACTCTTGTGCTTAATTAGTGGTTATTAAAAGATCAGTCATTAGAACGTATTCTTCATTCAGCTATTATGAATTGAAGGATTAGCATCTCTATTTAATTAACTAAAACCATCGATACAAAACAAGAGACAAAAGGATGAACAATAGAAGTAAAACCCATCTTAGACTCAGAGTGTTTTTCACAGCAAGCCTCCACTATAAAGCAGTCCTGTGGCAGGTAACCAATAGCCACCTACTACAAAATTAGAGACAGTGAAATCGGCTGCGTTTGTGTCATCTATCTCATGGTTACTGTCTGTTGTCACTGCTTCGGGTCCTGTATTGCTGTATTCTGCGTAGTAGAGCGTGCTCACTGCAAAGTCACTACACCATTCTCTCCAACCAGTGGTGATGATGTACAATCCGGCCACTCCTAGTTGGAAGTGACTGGGCTCCTAGTTGGCGACGGGCAAGTGATACCTGCATGAAGAGAGAATGAAGGAATCCGGGGTTGTTCATCCGGCGGGAACACTCCGATGCTTAAGTTAGTACTCGGTTGCGAACTGGAAGAGAATGAGTTTGCAAGAAGATGAGAAAGCTAGAGAGTGGTGAATATGCGATACCTTGGCCCCTGGGGGGTTGAAGTCTTTATATACGGTCCCGCCAAGTAGGAGACAACCTTTGGGGTTGGCAGGCACAACGCCGCCAGGCGAGAGACATGAGTGCAGCCTTCATGGTTGGCAGATACTGCGCTGCTGGACAAAGGACGTGGATGCAGTCTTCAGGGTTGGCAGGTAAGGTCCTGTTAGGCAGGAAGCTTCTTGCGAGACGTCGGGCTACCTGACGACGAGCTACTGGTGGCGTGCTGAGGTGATTCTGCCCGAGGCAAGTCATCTTCGAGGTGGCCCACTTCCTTGGGTTCGGACTACTGAGAACTCGGTGCTGTTGTTTTAGTTCGTGAACTGGGAGGGACTCAACCCGAAGTACCTTCAGCTCGGGACTAATGTACCCGAGCTTGCTCTATGGCAAGCTGATACTTGCTGAGTTGTCACATACATGTGTCACCCAGTTATGAGGTCGGGCCAAATCACCCCTTATCAAGTAGGATCTATAAAACTATCAATGAAAGATTGCATATACACAGTCTTGGAGTATTCTTTCCATGGCCGCCCCTGATAAGATCTTGTGGTGCCATTGCTAGAAGCCAAGTCTGGAGCTGCCATAATTTTATAGTTGTGAATGGAAATTCCGGTGTTCTGATTTGGGTCTGTTCTGCCTTGGGCCGTGAGAGCATTGAACTGGCCTTGCATCGGCAGCCGAGCATATATGTTGCAGTCTTGGAAAACAGCGGCAGCATTTCTGAATATGAAGTCCACAGTTCCATATATATCACATTCCCTGTAGAACTGCCCGAGGGAATGGGTGCATAAGGTATCCTGGTAGCCTTCGAAGCTGCAACTGTAGAAGGTCGGCATCGACATGTCTGCTCCATTCCGAACCGCCACTGCCTGGTGCTTGATTTCTCCTGCAGTGTTGCGAACCGTTATACTTATAGCGACGAACCCCTGTCCAATTACAGCTGCTTTTTCTGTGGCCTTTGCTTCAATAACCAGAGATGGACTTGCTTTCGCTGTTACGAATTTGGGTCCAAGAGTGAGTTGTTGTAAAGAAGAGAACGCACTGTGAAGGAAGGAAAGAAAACCAGACATGATTTCTCCTCACTCTCTCTCTTGCTCGATCATTCGGCTTGCTGTGCCATTTTGGGCGCCTAAGGGCATTTCGGTCAAAAAAATTTGTTTAACAGGCTGAGTCACCATTCAGGGGCAGTTAGTCATAAAATATTCATTTAGGCTGACGTGGACAATTTGGATCATTCAGCTTTTAACGGTGGTGTAATAGATAGTGAGTTTTGGAAAATAAAATTTCGGTAACATGGTGAGTTTTTGACGTTTTAAAAAGTTTTGGTGGGTTTAAGAGAATTCCGAAAAACTGATGTTGGGTTTTGGACTATTTCCCTTTATCAAATTAATCAACCGATATTACATTTGATAAGTCTATATTTTAATTTCTTAAAAACATCTGATGAGCAGAAGATCCAATCACAACTTGCGAAAAGATCACTCTTAATTAACTTTTGTGTTGATTAAGAGTATTTTTGAAACTGTACAAAACGGCTTTCTCCAATTCGAGGACGATTCTCAAAGTAATTCCGATTTCTGATTTCTGACGTAATTGTCAGATACCCACTTGCAGAAGAAGTGTTCATGTCATGTAGAAAACTCCAACTGTTTAACTTTTTCTCTCCCACTACTAATACCACGTTCACTGCACTTCCTTTCGGTTTGTGGCTTACTTTGTGCAACATCCGTCTCTAATCAATCTCTTCTCCAGAGTCCAGACCCTAAACAAATAAGTCCAATTCCCAAGTCCCAACCCAACCCAGCTTCGATCGAAACCACCCCAGCTACGGACACGCTTTTTAGTCCAGTTCTTTTACTTTCATACACACTTCAATTCATAGTCTCTTGGATGCATGTACTTGACAACTCTATTCTGCGCGATCAAATATAATCCTGTTTTCATCCCCCTCTGATTATCTGACAGCCCGTGTTACTGTACAGTTCCTACTCCGCTGTTTTTGGATGGCCAATTCATGGGCAATGGATGGCTTTGCTTTATTTGTAATCAAGTCGGCAGTTGTGGTGTTACTTTTACTCTTGGAAGCCATCGGCGACGGTGAGGCAGCTCGGGCTCGGCTGGAGAGGTGGGAAGCGGGGATCAGAATGCCGACGGAGAAGGAAGAACGGGAAGAGAACGGGGAGGAAATCGGCACGAGATGGGCTGTTCTCGTTGCCGGTTCTTCGGGTTTCGGCAATTACCGGCATCAGGTAAGGAAGGATTTGGCGAGTTGGTTATTGGTAGGTAGCTAGCGTGAAAACCAAGTGATGATACACAAAATAGAATCGATGGCCAGGGTTGATAGATTAGACTTTAGAGAGAATAGACGAACGAAAATAATCTCGTTCTGACTTTTTGTGTGTGTGGCGGATGGATGCAGGCGGACGTATGCCACGCTTATCAGCTGCTGAGAAAAGGAGGATTGAAGGAGGAGAACATAGTGGTGTTTATGTACGATGACATCGCCTACAGTGAATTCAATCCCAGGCCAGGAATCATCATCAACCATCCACAAGGTCAAGATGTCTACGCTGGCGTCCCTAAGGTACGGTACAATGGTACGCCCTTTTCTCTATTTATTATTTCCGGTAGTAGCAGTAGTAGGCTGCAGAACCGTTGAATTGGAACCTTTTCTCGTTTGACAACGGTAGTATTGCTCCTAGTCGTAGAAAGCCTAGAGCCAACTAGCCAAGATGGCAAGAGGATGAAGGCGGGGCTGTTACCCCGGCTGTCGGTTATAATCAGACGACCTGTTCAGCTCGTAATCGTATCATCGTTTGTAGCGGCGGGCCATTTCCATATGTTAGGCTTAGGTACGAGAGACACAAGTCAGCCACAGAGCAGCAACAAGCCAACAACCGTGAAATGACAACATAATGTTTCTGATATGCGGCTGTATGGTCTTGTGACCAGGGGATTCTGGTCTGCCGGAGCTGTCGGCCAAGGCCCATATCTGATATCTCTATACTAATTTCGGTTTTTTCTTATAGATGCTAAAGTTATCATTTCCTTGCTTGTATCGGTATGCCTACATCGGGTCCCACGTAGTTTGTGGGTGAGATTTTTCAGTTGTCCCATGAAAAAGACAAGTGATTTTCTTATAATAAATGGTAAGATCCTTTTTTGATTCCATTACGGCATTACCATTACAAGAATTTTCCTACATCTCTTTCTCAATAATATTCTCAATAATAGATCGGTATTCATCAATTGACTGTGTGCATAGTTAATGGATTGGTTGCTGTCCCAATCCAATTTATCCAATCCACTTAAATTGGATTGGATTCAAACAAAAAAGGCTGTTACTACTTATTCCATTGATTTGGATTAATCCAATAACATTCAATAGCATCTTTTATCAATTTAGTGGGTCTTTTTGGATTTGGATTTATTAAAACCATCAAAATCCAATCCAGTGGATTGATTTGATTGGGTTATGGCCACTTGGATAAATGCCTACATAGGATTGGATTGGATTTGAACATCATGGATCGGATTACCATTGGGTTCAGATTGAATTGAACCAAATCTGGTCCATTGACAGGGCAACCCTCAGCTACTTTATGGGGAGTAGAATCCTCATTATCAAAAAGGGGATTCTCTGCAAGCAAAAGCTCTTCACCCACTGTGAAACTATGGGAATCCATTTTAATACTCTGGGCCTGTTTGATTTTTGGATTTTGAGAGAGGGGAAAATTGGTCAATGGGATTTTGGTTTTATTGACCAAGATACCCATGTTCTTTTTTTCACGTTTATGTGAGATTCATAGAAAATTTAGGGGGTGTTCTTTTTTAGGATTTTGAGAGGGGGGAGACCAAGAATCCCATATTCTTTTTTCAGATTAATGTGGGGACTAGTGAAAGTTTATTTTCCTAGGTACCATTTCCCACTTGGGGGAAAGCTTCCAACACTTGAATGAGACAAAAATGCCCTCTTAATAATGAATTTTTATGGTTAAAATGGTCATTTCCTTTTTTACTTGAAAAATAAAAGAACATGGGTAAATGCACTTACCTAGGTAAGTGTTTCCTAGGAAAAACTTACCCAGTTAATTGCATTTACTCGGGTAAGCAACTTATTGAAAAGCGAATGGGGCCTTATTTTCCTAGAGCTCATCTTCTAGATGGGTAAATAACTTTTTCATCTATGAGGAAAGTTGCCTACACTTGGATGGGAGAACATTGCCCCTTTAATAATGGTTATTTATGGCTAAAACAGTCATTATCTTATTTATCTGGAAAATAAAAGAACATGGGTAAGTGTATTTACCCGGGTAAGTAACTTCTTGAAAAGCAAAAGAGGCCTTTATGCTTTTCTACAGATGTATTTATGAATCCTTGTTTGTTTTTTTTCTTCTTGTTGAATTAGACTCCTGGACATGCGCCAGATTCTTCTTCTTGTCTCTACGCCTATGCAACATTGTTGAAAAGTTGATTCAATAATTTTACATAGTGAAACTGCTTCCCCTGCCCCCCTTTGATTTCAGTTCCTTTCTTAAAACATTGTTAAAATTTTCACATGGCAGGACTACACAGGGGAGAATGTCACTGCTAAGAACCTGTATGCAGTACTTCTTGGTGATAAGAGAGCTGTACGGGGTGGAAGTGGTAAGGTCATTGATAGCAAACCAAATGACAGAATCTTCTTTTATTACTCTGACCATGGAGGCCCAGGTGTGCTTGGTTAGTATGATAAGTCTTTCCTTTCTCCATCTACAAATACGTTAAACCATAATTAGCTCGGGTTGGATTTGCAAATGTCATCCATTTATTTGATTGAATTTGGATATTGCTTGATCCAATCTGTTAGGATCCATTAGATATCAAATTGAATTTGGATATCCCCAATTCTAATTTGATCAGATAGGGATATACCCTGATCTGAATTTTAGTAGATCTATTTACACCTCTAACAATAAGGGTGGATTTAGCAGTGTAGCTAACTTTTCACTTTTGTTTTTAGGAATGCCCAATTTGCCTTTCATCTATGCTGTTAATTTCATTGAGGTCTTAAAGAAGAAACATGCAGCTAGAGGTTACAAAGAGATGGTGAGAGAAACATTCCTCCCCTTCCCCCCTTCCCCACATCCAATAAAAAGGCCAACAATACAACAGAAGTTCTCGGTTAGAATGATATTTGTCACTGTTACATTGTTCTTATGTATTTGGCAGGTTATATATGTTGAGGCCTGTGAGAGTGGGAGTATTTTTGAAGGTCTAATGACTGAAGACTTGGATATTTATGTTACAACAGCATCAAATGCTCAGGAGCTCAGTTGGGGAACTTATTGTCCTGGGATGGTACCTTCTCCACCTCCAGAATTCTTAACTTGCTTGGGGGACTTGTACAGCGTTGCCTGGATGGAAGATAGGTAAAATTGCTGCTACTTTTTAAGAGTTAATAGTAGTGTGTGGACCTATGAATATGAAGATAGCTAAACTTCACCTTTTCATGTAACCCTACTATTGATTAGTATTACAATGGGCTTTAAACATTGTATGGCATTCAACAAAGTATCGAGGTTTGTTTTACCCACTTCTGTAAACCTACTTTGTAACTGTATGGCTAAATATTGTGTGCATATAGCTTCTCATGTCTTCCATCCAACAGTCTTATATAGGAAATTCTTTTAATTGAATCTTAATCTCGTGGCATAGCTTTTGGTCCAGTCTCAGGGTTCTTATGATCTTATCCATGTATGAGTAAATTGCAGAAACCTCCATTCATAATTTCAGAAATATGACATTTTGGAATACTAGTGCCTTCCTTGACATATCTGGAATTAGCATCAATTACATCCCTATCTTGATAATGTTTGTCATCAAGGTGACAAAAATGTCAGAAATCATTCAAGCTTAGTTTGGAAGGAGTACAAATACAAATATGTACAGTGCAGATGCATACAAATTAATACAAAATATAAGGTTTTGCACTCTACATATTTATTTGCACTCTTTCCAAACTGAGCCTCAGGAAGCATATCTTAAAAGACAAATTTGCAGAGAAACTGATCAAAGCAGAGATAGAGACACTTCTGCTATTTAAAATATAGCTTTTGCATAGCTAAGAGCCGCTGGTTGCTATGATGGTAAAATCTCAGGATGACAAGTGTCAAGACAATGGTTTGCATTAGAGAGTGGCCATTTCATGCTAAAAATGCTAGAGGATAGGTCTGTATCCAGTGCATCTCTTCCAAATTCTGGATGGCTAGGACCAACATTCGGTCCTAGTCTTTAGTGTTTGCCTATCAAAAAGTAGGGATTAAGTATAATGCTTAAAGAAATACTTCACTAAGGTATCTAGTTGTCTTCAGATTTGGCAGTTCTTGTATTCATGTCTTTGGTTATTTCCTAGAGGTAAAGAAGAGTTATGACTTCAGGTAATGATTTTAATTGTTCAGGACAACTTTATGCATAAACATAACTCAGGGGTAGGAATAGTTGGGCAATCAAATAAAGTGTAAAAGTGTAAAAGTTGTAAGAATAGTTGGGCAATCAAATAAAAACATCACTTGCATTTTTATTTGACTTACCTTTGCTTATTTCTATTGCAGTGAAATCCACAGTCTGAAGGAAGAAACAATACAACAACAGTATCAAAATGTAAGATATAGATAACACAATTTTCTGGACTTTAGTTCTCTAAGAATGGAATTGTTTTTCAATAAATGTAGACAAAGCTGAATTTTTTTCTTCATTTGTGCAGGTAAAATATCGGGCTTCCAATTACAACACTTATGATGTTGGATCTCATGTGATGGAATATGGGAACAAAAGCATCAAATTTGAGAAGCTTTATCTATATCAAGGTTTTAGCCAGGATACTGAGAAAATCAATCAAAACTCCCTTCAATTCCATATGGATGTTGTTAACCAAAGGGATGCAGATCTCCTCTTCTTGTGGCAAAGGGTGAGTTGAAGTGCCCATCGTCTTATTTGAAAGCAGGAACTTCCTAGTGAATATAACATTTAGATAGCTAACCCAAATAATATTGATGTCATAAAGTTGACTGATTATGCTCTTTTAAAAATTTTCAAAATAAAATCCTTATGGCCAGAAGTTCGATGTGAATATGTAGGATTAGGACCGCTCAACTTTTCTTAGATTAGCATTTGAGAGCTATTTGAAGGTTTATCATCAGTGGCTAGCTTTCTCATATTTTTCACATACCCTATTTCTTTCCTACCGTTTGCTCTTCTCAACGAGTTGTTTGCTTTCCACTTTTCCAGTACAAGAAGTCAGAGGAAGGATCCAAAAAGAAAAAAGAAATTTTCAAGCAAATAGCAGAGACAATAAAGCATAGAATTCATCTGGATGGTAGTGTTGAGTTGATCGGCAATCTTCTCTTTGGACCTGAAAGAGCTGCTTCTATCCTCAGTGCCGTGAGGCCATCTGGGTGGCCCTTGGTTGATAACTGGGATTGTCTGAAAGCATTGGTAATGTATCTTTGTTCTTTTTTCCTTCTATTTGGTTTGTTGCTTTTGGGGGGTGAGGTTATTTTGCTCCTAATATTTAAGGTGCCTATCAAAATTATAGGCAAAGAAATTATAATGCCTCATGAGAATGTCAGCAAAGTATAGTAGAAGGCAATTCTGACACAGGGTAGTTTGAATATAAATTTTTAATGGGTAGAGCGATCGACCTAGTGATTTTCGATTGGAAATGAAATGGATTTATCTTTATCTAAGGAATTTTTCTGAAGAAATGAATTTATGATCTGGGTAGCCATGTTCGTTTCCTTTATTGAATTTGGGCAGCCATGACAACCCAAATAGCTCAATGTTGGAATACTTGATATGCATGATCTTTGATTTGTCCATTCCAGAAAGAATTATTTTTGTCTTGACCTAACAATAAAAAACTGGTTCACAGGTCCGGCTGTTAGAATCACATTGTGGGTCATTGACTCAATATGGGATGAAACACATGCGTACACTTGCAAACATTTGCAACAGTGGTATCTCACAGGATGCAATGAAGGAAGCTTGTATGGCTGCTTGTAGGGGACGTCCATCGGGGTCACTGAATCCTTCAAACCTAGGTTATAGTGCTTGATCATGGTGCAAGTGCCAAGGCTTGCCTCATATGAGTAACAGGTCAATGTAAAATATGTGTTCATTCTTATGCCTTTTGTAAATACCTTCCTATATAGGTTGTATGTGGTTGAAAGCTTTACAGAAAGAAAAAAATGGTTGTTGTTGTTGAAATTAATAGTAGTCTAATTTAATGAAGTTGAATGCAAATTTATTTCTTTTTTATTGATGTACTTTTACATTTTTATTATCAATGTAAATATGCATTAGAAAACGTGTTTTCTATCATTTGTTAATGCATAAACGTAATGTTGCCAAACACAGGCAAATTTACCCTGAAACGGGATTTACACTCCATTTGCATCCTTTTCAAACGCAACCTAAGTGAAGTGTCATGCCCTCCTTTATCTTACAGCCCATCCTCAGCATCCGGCCAATCTTTCAAACATATACACATCTTAGGCCTTTCATCATTCATATAGCTTCTTTTGTCATTTAATTAGCATCTTAATACCTGCATTAAAACAAGACTACGGTGGAACTATAAACACCAGAGGGGTTTGTAGACCACATGCCATGGTGGCAAAAACTGGATAATTTTATCCATGTTTATTACAATAGGTTAAAATATCAAAATTATTTATTTCCTTCAAATCAGGAATCATTTAAATTAGAAAAAAAGCTTGTAAATAAAAATTAAGTTTAGTAAATGAACTTAATGGTGAAGTGGTAGTAAATTTCCGCCTTTTATTTATTGAAGACCAAAAATTTTTTCTTCCACTATTAAATTTAGATGTTTCAGAAATGAAAGTTGCACCTGAACAAGTTTTCCTATGCCCTAATAATTGAGATTCATATAAAATGTACATTTTAAATAATAAATTATTAATTTCTTCTTTTTCTATTTCCAATTTTAATATTCGTATTTTCACAATATGATTCAAGTAAAGCATCTAAATGATATTTCATAATCCAAGGATCTAATATTGTAGCTAAGCAACAAAATAATTTATTCTTTTTTATTTTCAATTTTAATATTCATATTTTCACAATATGATTCAAGTAAAGCATCTAAATGATCTTTCCTAATCATTGGATCTAATATTGTATCTAAGCAATAAAATAATTTCTTTATTTTTTATTTTCAATTTTAATATTTGTATTTTCACAATACGATTCAAGTAAAGCATCTAAATGATCTTTCCTAATCCTAGGATCTAATATTGTAGCTAAGCAATAAAGATGAGAATTTTTTTCCCAATATTTTTTAAAATTTAGCTTCCATTATTTCAACAATACATTTAAAATTTGAGTTATTATTATATTTTGCAAAACATTCATTTATCATAAATAAATTATTAACTAAAATATAACTACTTTTGTAATAAACACTCAAAAATTAATTAGTCATATCATAAAAAATTGTAAAAAGCATTTATACAATCTGTCATTCCCCAATCATCTCCACTTATAAAATCATTTGGCATTTTTCATTATAAAAATTAGTAAGAATATCTTTGTATGAAATAAAACTTTCTAACATCGAATAGGTGGAATTTAACATATGTTGAACATCTAATACATAATTTTTATATTCTAAACCATATTTTTGTCATAAATATTTAAATTCTTGTTTTCTTATTCCATAATATCTAATATATATAATACAATTTTTAACTTTAGAAATATGATGTGAAACAATATTTAAGGCATCTTGATCACATTAATTTAAGATGCAACATGCACATCTAATATGAAATAACTTATCATTTAAACATGGTTTTAATTGAATTTTTAAAATATCTATTGTTAAATCATTATTACTACAATTATCAAAAATAATAGAAAAAAAAATTATTTTCAATTTCATTTTTATGTAAAGTATTTAAAATACTTGTAGCAATTGCTAGGCCAATATGTGGTCATTTAAGCCTATTAAAACTTAAAATTCTTTTTATAAAAGCTAATTTTTATCAATAAAATGTCTAATAAGACAAATATAATTTATATTGTACTTAGAAGTTCAAATATCAGAAGTAATTGCAACTTTAGAATTAAGTGTTGATAAAGTAGAAAATAAATGAAAATTTTTAAATCATCTTATCTAATATTATTTCTAAAAACTTTTTTAAGTTGGGGATTTATAGAATGTTGTAAAAGTCTTTCAAACTTAGTGTCTTCAGCTAATAAAAATGATTGTTTAACATGTATAATATATTTTGTTATTTTTTGTCTCATTTTTTCTTGAGAGTATCTAAATTTACCAAAAAAACTCACACGCAATTTGTGTTTGTGATGATTGTTACCTTCTTCTTCTTCATTTTTTTGATGAGTGGCCATATGTTTGCTCAAATGGCTAGTTACCACCTTTTGCTGCTATAACTAAAACCACTCATACATTTACGACAAACAACTCTTTTTCCCTTCCCCTCAACCTCTTTTATGTAATAATTTTCAGACCGAGCTAGTCAACATATTGTGCTTTTTCTTTCCCCTAATAGTAGTAGTAAGAGTGGGAACTCCTGCAATATTAGTAGCATCCATATTGGTGCTAACACTACCATATTGTGACTAAACATCATCAAAGTTGAGTAGGTTGGGAAATTGGTTTTGAGTGAATCCAACCACTTAGTATTAAAACTCTAAAAAAAATAAAATTAATTTAATTGCAACTTACTCGATCTTCCGATTCGAAATCTCAACTTGATTTAAACTGTTGAAACCACCAAGCCTCCCAAATTGTTAAGTTGAGATACTTAAACAAGTCTTCTTCTTATTGAAATTTGAATAAAACTGAGAATTAAAAAGTAAAGAGATTAGGAGAGTGTATAAGAGAGTATTTGAGAGTATGGGAGTACGAGTGTATGAGAATGGTGGAGGATAAAGGTATTTATAGGAGTTGAAATTAAATCAGTTGCCCAAAATACCAAAAAATTAACCATTTTTAATTGTCAAGAGGGGTATTTTGGTCATTATAAAGTTAATTATCAATTTACCAAAATGTCCCTTAAGTTATCTATTATATAGTTGTTGGGGGCACTGTTGTCATCCCCCAAGTCAAAATACATAAATACCCTGTAACTAGTTGTTTATATTTATAATTGTTGGGGGTATTTATGCAAAAAAGACTCAAAAAACAGAAACAAGTCCCCAAATGCTATATTACGTGGACCTGAAAACCTAAGCCCGTCATGACCCATACCTCCCTGCCATGTCTGGCGTGGCCCGTGTGCTACAGTGATGGGATGTGCCGAGCTTGGCCCATGTCATGCCAGACCGCTAGCAGCATGGCTCGGTTTACGGCTCTACGGCTAACCCTTATATTTCTCAATGATTTATATTCTTATTAATTTATTTATGATGTCATAGGTTCACCTGTTCAACCCGGATGGTTGAACCGGTGACCCAACTATCAGAGACAAAAACGGTTCTATTTGCAGGCCGCTTTTTAAAACATAGGAAATCAGTCTCTAACTTGGTGGTACCTGGTGGAATCCGATGGGACCTGGAATCAAGGGAAACGCATGTCAAAAAGGGGGGTTGTGTGGTGACAGTTCATGCTCTGGTTTCCACATACTAACATTTTCCAAAACAAAACAGTAAAGTGAGTATTCATGAAGGGGAATTTCAAGCTTCTTGCGGCTCTTTTTAAGAAGTCAGTATGCTTTGTTTTTTTTTTCTCGAAAAGTGTGGAGTTTAGAGACTCAATGCCAGAGATAGTTCATAGTTCCAACTTTAAATTGGTTGCACTCTCACAAATTATTAAACAAGCATATGATCCTTTCTACAAAGATGAATTAGACATCTTCATTTCATTCCTGTAGGGACCTGCATCATCTTCATCTTTATCCTCTCAGCCTGAATGCAAGGACGAACAACATCTAGCTATGGTATTGAAGGCTGGGACCTGGGTTATTAGGAGGAATAAGAAAGAACTGAAATTAATAAAAAAAAAAAAAAAAAAGCTGTGGAGAACATTGTTGGTTAGAATAAAGAAAGAAGAATTTGAGAGGGAATAAAAGGGAAAAGTACAAGTACTGACCACATGCTTTTTGCATAAAGGAAAGGAGGACGATGAGCAGAGCGAGCGCTGCCAGTACTCCAACGATTATTGCCACCGTCTTTCCGATTTGGTCATCGGTGGAGGAATCTGCAGGCAGCCATAAAAAGCAAAAGTAGTAAGGGGAATTTTTCTACAATTAAGCAAGTCTACTCAATGCCTTTCTCTCTCATCCATTGGTTGTTGGGGTGCGATGAGAAAGCCAAAAAACATCTTCATCAGAGAAAAGGAAATGCAGACACATATATGTATATTTAAGAAACACTATTTAATTATTTCGATATTTGAATGAAAGTGGAAGCGCTAATTACTATGCCTAATGAGGGAGCAAAGCGAGGATCAAACATCCCTTGACCCCTCGATCCCTTTTGACGTTAGCAGCAGTGATTAACAAGTATGTATATATTGACATAAAAAAAGAAGGGGAAGAAAGAAACCGTAAACAACATCGGTTGAGTAAAAAATTCCGAGTGCTGGCACAGCACAATTGCCAAAGTATAGGAAAGAGAAAAAGAGGAAAAGAAAAGAAATGGGATCAACAGAAAAATGCAGTGCCTTGAACGTTATAAAAGGAAGTCAGAAGTAACCCTTCAAACATAGTGGATACGACCTTGGTAGTTAGACTTAGTAGCTTAAGATTGTTGAACTATTTACGTAGTGGATACGACCTTATAATTGATCATCAACTGAAGCTTAGCCGCTTCTACGTCTAGTGGTATTAATGTCTCTCTCTCTGTGAAATTTTTCTGATATTTCTGCTTAACACACTCACAAGTCACAAGCAAGGAAATATAAGGAAAAACGCAAAAGAAGTAATACGAAATTATGAATTGCACCTGAAGGGGAATCATAGTAGCCAGAGGCCCAGTATCGAGCATAGCACTGGGCCAAGTAGACATCGGTTGCTGATGCCGAGCCGCATGCATTCTTCAGCTTCCCGACGGCTTCCGAAAGACATGAAGAACAATCGGCAGAACTGAGATCCCCCAAACATTGAGCAAAACCCTCCACAGACCCCAGGCTACTAACTCGAAAACCATTTGCTCCCTGCAAGTCAGCAAGAACATCGTCCCTGCGCTTAAAGAACTCAACATCATTACTAGTATCGCGACTGCATTTTTTGTATACCAGTGCCATGTCGAGTTTCCCCAGGAAGTTGGCATTGTCGTATCTTAGAAAGCACCCTTCTAACTGTAAACTAGCTGCTATTGAGTAAGGGCACACCAAACTCATCTGGCTAACGGCGTTTTGGACACACCACGAACAGTCGCTTGTCTTCAAATCACCTCTGCATTGGTATAGCCCATAGACTGCTGCATCCGCCGGCATTGAGGTGCCATTTGCCACAGTAAAACTGTTATAAGCAGACTGAGAGGCTGACATTGCAATGGAAGACAGTAGGGAGTTGAGGTTGGCTTCAAAGGGCGAGCTGGGTTGGTATTTGTCTGGAGAGCAGCCCCCGTAGATGAAAGTATGAGCATTGATATGGTGAGAATGGTTAGCGAGGGAAGAGAGGAACAATAACAGAAAAGAGATTTTCTTCAGAGCCAACTGCGAGATGGGATTGCGAGAAGAGTGCTGATGAAGGCTCTTCCACATTCCTGCTTTAAAATTTTGGTTTTGCTTTTGATTTTGTTTTGTGCTTGTCTTTAGATAGCTGGAAGGAGAAGATGCTTTTTAGAATTTTTCTCGAGTAGAGGCTTCCTCCAGAAGAGATGAAAAGAATGAAATCATGTTCCAAAAACCCTAATTGTGATCGTTGTGGTCATATCGAAGTTGCACGTTATATGCACTCGATACTACAGCTCGTCCAATCCAGTCAATGGTCATAAAGGTGAGATTACCAGTACAGTACCCAATCTAGTACAAGGAAAGTTGTCATATGTTGTGGGATGAACGAAAGGTTTTTGATTGAATTGAACCTCATCTGTTGTCGTACGTTGCGGGCCACAAACTGTCTGATCAGAGCCGTTCCCATCTGTTATTTAGCGTTCTGAGTCCGTTAGATTGACCTTTTTTTTTTGTCGTGGTAACAAAAAGCAAAGTTCAGTCAATGGTCTTAAAGAATATCACCCTCCGATGTTCTTTTTTTTTTTTTTGGAAGAATATGGGAACGGGTCCAACGGGATGAGCTGCGTGTTGGTGTACAACGGACTAGAGAGATTGATTGAAGAATGTAACCCTGTAAGGATGAATGGATTTTCCCTCGGCCGTTTAATTGCATTGGGTTTGAGGAGAGGGAATGTTTTGCATCATCTCACCGTAGCTCAGCTCAATGGGTAAATTTTCTGGCTACTTTTGTAGGGGAGACTGGGAATTAAATTCTGTTGTCACCAGGAGGTTATGGGTTACTCTCTGTGGTGAGTTGGGATCTTTTGCCAACAAATTAAAGACGTTCCAACTAAACCTGTTCATGGGCCGGGCTGGGCTCGAGTCGGGCTTTTACTCTTCGTTAATGAAAATATGTTAGGCCCGAGCTCGAGCCCGGCGGCCCGACCAACGGGCCTACAACTTGGGCCCGAGCCCGGCCTTGATAAAAAGCTCGAAGCCTGACCTAATAAAAATTAGAATTTTTCCCTATTCAATAATCAATATAAATCAGAATTTATTTACATTAAAAAAAGAATATAAATTCAATATAAATTCTGAATTTGCAAAAAAAAAAGAAAACCAATTGCAGATTATTCAATATAAATTCTGAATTCAATAATCAATATAAATCAGACTTTATTTACATTAAAAAAAGAATATAAATTCTGAATTCAATAATCAATATAAATCAGAATTTATTTACATTATAAAAGAATATAAATTCAATAATCAATATAAATCAGAATTTATTTACATTAAAAAGAATATAAATTCAATATAAATTCTGAATTCAATAATCAATATAAATCAGAATTTATTTACATTAAAAAAAGAATATAAAGAAGGGAAAGAGGATGTGGAGAAGAAGCGTTTGGCTGGAAAAAGAAGGGAAAGAGGCAAAGAGGTGAAAAAAAAGAGGGGTATTCGACTAGTGTTTTTAGGTTTAATTATAGGTCGGGCCGGGCTATTTTGGAAAATCCCAAGCCCCGCTCGAATTTATTGTAGGCTAGGCTTTTTGGCCCGAGGTTAAGCCCGCAGGCCCATACCCGGCCCATGAACAAGTCTAGTTCCAACCCCTATCAACTTCATCTAACACCGCACATCTCACCATGAGACTGAGATCCATCGTATATAGATTCACGAAAAGAAAAAGTTTCAAGACTCAATTTTTGCATAATACATAATAATTTATTATAAATTAAAACACATACACACACATATAACACCCAAAACTGGAAAAAGATGTTTTTATAACTTTTACAAACACATCCATACACACATATAACTACTGGGTAGGGATCTGCCATCAATAAAATGCTCCCAATACTGTCCCAACAAGTCACTACAATCATAGATTGGGAAAACCTCCGTTGTTAATCATGGGAAGATGTTCCCAATGTACCGCTGCAATGGTTTGTTGGGACATTGTTAAGGCCGTGTGTTGGCAGATGATCCAAAATACATGTAACCCTATCCAAAAATAATACAAGCACTTTGTATTTGCTTAAAAATACGGTATAGAATTGATTGTTGATAAATGAAGCCTGTGTAATAGGGAATGAGAGGAATCCCATGAGTGGAATATTTGGGTCTGGTGTATCTTTAGGAGATGGGCCCAAACAATCTGTGTATTATCATATTCCCTTCATTAAAGGCATTTGAAACTTGATTTTAGTGCATACGTACGCGCGCTAAGAGCAACAGTCAATAGGTGACATTAAGATAATCATAGCTAAGGCCTAAAGGAATCCTAAGGAACAGATTTTCCATGCGCGACAGTGAGTGAACAAATAACAATGCCCCATTGGGGAATCAACCATCCAAGAATAGGGAATCATTGTTGAGACTTGAGAGAGAGAGAGAGTAAATTAGGTAATCCAGCAGCTCGTTTATGGGCTTGTTAAATGGGCCAGTCTGGCCTGTAACTAAATAACCCAATCCTTGTACGGTTGGTTGTACTTGGGTTGTTTACGGCTTTAGTTTTGACTGAAAGTGGACCTCCTTGGGATGACATATTCCCTAGTTGGATTGGATACCCAACTCAATAACCGAAGAAGCCATGGGGATGGGTTTCACAATGTATCATTATTCCTCCTGGTGACTCAACAACAGTGCTCATCAGACATTGAACAAGGTCAGGACTCAGGCGTTAGTGGGCCTCATTGCTGCAGCTGTTTCCTAAAAGAATGCCCACAAATAAACATCACGGGACAACTTTTTCGCTATAGTCTCTCTCTATTCATGTGTTATCTATCGATCTGAATAGGATTGTAGCAACAAGTGCAGCAGATCACTGTGTTGTGTCGTGACCTAACTAGAGACCAGACACAGAGTTTGAAATGGCTCTTTCTGTTTCTCTCCGTCTCTCCGGTCACGCACTCTGTGTCTTAACTCTAACACCACTGCCAAAACTATTTGGGTATTGGCTAGCTAATTAGCTATTGCGTATTGGGGGTGTGAAGATGAATTGATCAAACACCACCTCCACCTCCACCTCCACCTCCACCACCACAATCAACAAAGAAATCATTTGGTTTCCAGGACGTTCACGCCACCGATCTTTCTGGGACCCACTTTTCATCTGATGATCATCCTCGTCCAGTCCAACCACGGTTGCTTCCCATCTTAGCACTTGTTCAAGTCCAATAACACACCCTCACCCTCACCAGTACATGTGAGACGTGCATCACATTATCATTACTGACATATTGACTACTTTTCGTTGTTCGCCTCAACTCAACAGAGAACCGACTGAACAGGTAGGTTCGATTATGATACCGGAAACATATATGATACTGATACCAGAAAAAACTTGTAACCAATGAACCGGGTCTGGAGGTCATAAATTAAAAGTGGCAACCACCACCAATTGGCAATAGAACAGAACCAGAAACAGGAGGGTTTTGATTGGTCAAAACCGTTCCGATATTATGTCTGACTGTGACTGGCAGCATAGATTTTTTACTTTCTAAACTTCTAAAACATAAGGGTGCTTAGAGAAACAGTCCAAATGGGTGGGCCGCGACTATTCAGCTCTTCGTTTAAGTCTCACTTACTTCGAGTTCTTGTAACAACTGGGTTTAGGTGTTGCTAATATCAATTTTCTTTTATGGGGTGGGGTATATAAATATATAAATTGGGGGTGATCATCTATTCGATCCCCACTGGCCACTTCTCCATTCCCCCACCAACCTCTGCAGGAGATTGAGTGTATGTGAATTGTGGGCTTCCGTTATAGTTGATACAGCCATCAAGTTCAGCTAATTCTGATTAGGTGGGGAAAAGATACAAAAGTAATTATTCCTTTGAATTAGAGTTATACCACCATAATATCGTCTTTGATTGAATGAGAAGGCACGCAACCATCTCCTCCTTTATGATTTCGAATATGAAAATGGATGTACCAAATTACCAATATACCAAAAAAGAAAAAGAAAATATGGATAAATATGACAGACGTCATATCTCTTGTTTAAAATATGGATGTACCAAATTAAGCAACCCCGCCTACCAAGCACAAATCATCAAGGAACGTCGAGGAGACTTGTTGTGACTTGTGAGAGAGAGAGAACATGATAGAGGCAGAGAAGACGACGTAATAAATTGAGAGGGATAAAAATCAACGACAAGGGATAAGAATTATCTCCATACGCCGGTCTCGAACCTGCGATCTTCGCGTTATTAGCACGACGCTCTAACCAACTGAGCTAATAGGCCATTTAATATTTGAACTTGTCAATACCTAAACTACTATCTTACCCCATTGCTTCTGCACCATCGATTGATTTGCATTTTGCACATGTCGTAAGTTTATTTATGGGCATCCACCGTAGAGCAGTTTCCATTCTTATTTGGATAAAATACAAAAACTTGCATGAAGTTTTTGACAATCATAACAACCTCTCCTATAATTTTATTTTAACAAAAACTAATTTTAAGAAATTTGACGAAAACCTCCCTTTTATCAATAATCATGACGGAAAACGTTAAAACCATGATCGAATCTTTTTAAATACTTATTTTACCCTTTCACACGTTAATGATTTTCCTGATCCTACTGAGATTGACTTATTTTACCCTTTCAAATACCTATTTTACCCTTCCTGCAGCAAAAGGCACCCTCTCTCGACAAAACCGAAACTCACGCCGATCCCTTGTTTGAGCCCGTCGCCTGTCACCATTTCTTCAATGGTGACGGCATGGTTCATGCTGTTAGCATCCAGGAACGATCCCCTGCTCGAGCCCGTAGCAGCTAGCTACACTTGCCGCTTCATTGAGATGCGGCTGAACTTCCTCTACGGCGGAGAACAATCGATCCTTTTCCCACTGGTCGAAACTCGAAGCCATGTTCTATTAGTCAAATTTTGGCCGTTTTTCAGTCAAATCGACTTCATAAACCGAGGTTCCGTCCGAATTCAGCAATCCCCAGTGCCGTTCAGTTCCCGGTCCACCCTTCTGGTTCTCATTGTACAACGCGAAAATGAATGTCGGTATTACTACATTTGGATGGGCAGGAGTTCCGATTGCTAGTTTGGACGTCATTCTCCGGATTAGATTTCGGTTATATGTAGCTGTGTTGAAGATGTTCGCTCCGATCTGGTCGACGTCTCTAGCATTGGGCCACCCTGTTTCGGCGATTACCAGCCGAACGTTCGGGAACCCAAGCTTGGTCATGGCGAAGATAACCGAGTCGAGCATCTGGTCAAGGAGGTTGGTGTAGGTTTGGTTCCCTTTCAAAAACGCATAGTCGAGATTAATGTTCGTGGGATCGCCGGACCAAGGGAAGTTAGGGTAGGCGTCGAGGAAGGAATAGGATTTGGTTCGATTCAAGAACTGTAACAGAGGCTTCATCACCGGTATGGAGATATCGGACCGAAACATTCCGTTCGACGGTGGGAAGGACGATTGAAGGACATCCATGGCAATTGTAGTCCCAATTTTGATGTTTCTGATGTTGTGGATTTTGAGGGAATACTTGAGTCGGCTCATTGCTTGGACGAGACCGTACCATGTTTGTCGATCTTGGTTGGAGGAGAAGCTGAAGATTTCATTGCCGACAAGGAGGTAATGAGTCAAGGTTTTGGGGTAGAAAGGAACGTTATTAGTTCGAACCCATTCGTTTGCGAGGGACTGGCTTGAAGAAATGTTGGAGATTAATTGATTGGGAACCATGATTGATACTTGGATGTTGGTCCCTTCGAGGGCGTTCAGAATATCTGGGTTTGCATGTTTGACGTGACCTGCTTTCAGGGATTTGATGAGCACAATGGATCGAGACGGTGAAGGGAGGTTGTTGCCCAGTTGACCACAGTTGACGCCCATCTTCCTCGAAATCTCTGCATCTGTGAAAAGAAAAACGAAAAGGGGTTAGAGAGGAAGCATAAAGAAACAAAACCTGTGTTCTAGTTTCATCAGAAACTTACTATTGTCCATCGACCAAAGTTTGCAGTTCATTGGAATTCCGTCTGACGGGAGTGAGAACCATACATCGATGAAGACTTGTGACTGAGGCTGAGGTTGAGCCTGCGGGTGCAACAGATTTACCTCTGTGGAAGAAGGGCAACACCCAACGAAGCAGTTGAAGATGATGAATAATGTTCGAGGATTATACACATTAAGTCGTCAAAAGGGTAAATTAGGTATTTTGAAAAAAAACTATCATTTGTTTAAAAATTAGGTATTGACGGAAGGGAGGTTTCTGTCAATTTTTTTTAAATAACGGGGAGGTTTTTACTAAAATGAAACTATAGGGAATGTTTTTATGATTGTCAAAAATTTCAGGGAAGGTTTTTATATTTTACCCTTTTTATTTTTGTATATACAACACGCAAGACGTGGAGTTCCAGTCAGTACCCTCTCTGATTTGAAACTAGATAAGGTCGTCCACTATCCATTTTCAGCACTCCACGTTTCTTAATCCTTATACTAGCGGGGACCCATGTGATGTATGGGATTTATTAAGCGAAATTTAAATAATAGAAAGGGTCATTTATTAAAATATTTGGTTAATTTTGTTTTTTGTACAAAAAAAAAGTGTTAAGGGTTTTTTTGGAATAAAAAATCATAGGCCTAATAGCAAAACAAACACTCTTTAATGAAAGGTTGATTAAGTTACTAAGTTGTAAAATATATGGATGTTTTAATAAAATGAAAATTATGAGGTATGTTTAAGTAAATATGTAAAACTATAAGATGTGTTCTAGTAATTGACCCTAATAGAATCACATAAGAGTATACGATTGTGTTATATTTTTCAACTTTTTAAATAATTAATAATTATTCATATTTTATATACTACTTTTAATAATTTTTTTATAATAAAAAAATAACAATAATTAATTTCAATTAGGTTTATTCATCAAACTGATGAAACCGACCAACCCGACCAACTTGATTCTAGTATTTTAGGTCGGCTTTAGTTAAAAAATTTCCCAATTCGATCAAATTGGATCAATTTCACTTTCGTCAATTGTAAACCAACCAAAATCGAACAACCTAACCATGGATATATATTAATATTTTATATTTTCAATATAAATTTTAATATGGAAAAATCAGAAATTTCCCATATTTCTTAGTCTAAAATGTTTTATATGATTCGGAAAAGCATAATTTAAATTGCTAGTACATAATTTCATGATATATTTTGTAAAAATAAAAAATTATTTATTAGATAATTTCGTTATTGTAAATATTTAAAATATAGTTATGATAAATATTTAAATAATCTATAAAATATTTAAAATCTTTATTATTTGAATTTTATTTATTTAAAGCTATTGCATATTATTAAATATTTGAAATGTATTTAAATTGATAATCCGGAAAAACATAATTTAAATTGTTAGTACATAATTTCGTGATATATTTTGTAAAAATATAAAATTATTTTTTGCATTTTTAGTAAATATTTTAAAATTATTATATAATTTTGTTAGAATATTTAAATAATTCTTAAATTTTTTAGTCCAAACTTTCTTTAGATAGATATAACTAAAAAGTAGGGGAAAGGATAAATAGGAATTAGAGATAATTTAAGAGAGAAACTCTACTTAATTAGAGATAATTGTGGAGATAAATAGAAATTAGAGATCTCGAAAAAGTGGGGGAGGTAGTTTAGAATAAATTTTAGGAAAGGAGATTATTTAAGTTATTAGCTCATTGATTGTTTAAAAAATGACATGAAATAAAAAAACAAATTATTCAAAAAAATGAAAAACTTTTTGACTACTTTCTCTCTCTCTATATATATATATATATTTGGTAAGCTGTTGCCGTGTTAAGTAATCGGCCATCAGATAGTCGATGTCGACCCTTAAGCGTTGGTCTTTGGCGGGGGGGCCTGGGCGCTCCGTGTAGTAGAAAGTTTGAGCCTTCTATTCTAGGTGATGGTGGTGGTGGTGGAGAGTTTGGTGCCCGGTGATTCCCTACTCCACCAAAGCCTACCAAAGCCAATCCCTGATAACGACGTACGCCTTTGCTGACGAACACAATGACGAAAGTCTTCCCCCTTCAATTCAACCACAAAAATATAGGAAAAGAGAACAGACACATCCTTTTGATTTCACAACTAAATCCTCCATTACACCCAGTATTAACAAAAATTGAAACAAAAGAAATGGAAAAAAAAGGGGTATATCTAATCATCTATCTTTAATCATGGTTTTCACTTTTCATCATCATCATCAACACTGTAATCAGTGACAATTCACAAGCGACGTTTCCACGTCGATTTCACGCCGGCGGCGATCTTCGTTTGTACGCTCTCGAACTCAGTTATCCGGCATGGTATCGTAATCCCACCTGGGTGGTGGAACCCATACTCCTCCTCGGCCTCCCTCAACAAGTCTGCGAATAAGGGGTGATTGAAGTAGATAACCGGCACCAAGAACCGATGAAGACCGTCGTCTTTCTGACCCACGTATACCGCCATGTGTCCTTTCGGCACTTGCACCGGTTTATCTTCCAATGCCTCCCGATCACAGCGACTGTAGCCGGAGGCTGATGACTTGTTGGAAGAGCAGAGTCCCTTCGCCCCTCGCTTCAGGCAATTACCCCAGTCGCAAATTTTGGATATGGCCTTGCTTTTGCAGCTCGGAGGATCCAACTCCAATCGGCGGTAGCCAGCTGGCTTTCGATTCGGCCTGACTACCCATCTAAACACCTTAACCAGTTTGCGGCCCAACTTGAAACCTCTCGTCTTCCTCATAATGTGTGCAGTGAGTGAAGAGAAAGATGAGACAGACAGCGAGAGAGAATGGGAGGTAGACTATCTACGGATATTGTTGTAATTGGCTTTGTTTAGGTGAAAGGCCATGGGTCTGCGATCGACATGGTGAGACGGAAGAGAGTGAGACAGACTTCAGAGAGAGAAGTGGGGATATTTGACATGGTAGGAAGAATGAAGTGTGTTAGAGAAGGAAAGTTTCATTCAAATCTTCAACAATCAATTACTACTTATAAGGAATCGACCGTGGCTTCTGCGGCCTTCTCCTCCTCTTCTTCTCTCTGGGAATTCCTTCGCTGGCGTTCACTTGTTTTTAACCTCCAATTTTATGGGGCTTGTAGAGGTGGAGGAGATAGCGGTTGCGGTGGTATGGCGAGATTCTTCGATTGGAACAGAAGAATAAGGTTCCTCCGCAAGAGGATTACAGAGCTTTTTTTATAGATGCCGAATCAGTCAAAACCATGAGCGACGAATTAGAATTAGAAAAACGAGGAGAAGGAGAGCGATGAAGCTTTAATGGTTGGTCGGCTGGAGAGTGGAGAGATCGAAAATGGAGAATGGACTTTTTATTCTAGAAGAGAAAGGGTCAACCGTCAGACAGACAATGAATGCTTTGAGGGTTGGGATCCTTCGCGGACCTCTCTCGTCTCCCCTCCTGCCCTATTATTTAAAGATGATAATCAATGAAATTGGAAATTGGAATTGATCCGTCCCTTCTTCACCTTCAAAGTGGGCAAAGGATAAACAACAAACAATATCCTAAACCTGCTACTCCTAATCCCAAAACTCCCATCTAATAATTTATAAGACATGTACAGATTTAGCCACGTATACATCGCTGTTAAGATGGTTTTCCTCTACTTTTGGATTATCCCAGCCGTTGAATTAATATTATTTTAATCGACATCATGAAGAATCTCTCAAACTGAGCCACGTGGCTATATTGTCCACCAAGCGTCAGATTACTGGGAATCTGGGATTGGGATGAGTACTTGAACTTGAATAGAGCATTCTAATTTCTAAATCTATCTCATTGACTAGCTGGACCATACCTCCAACTAACCACGAGTTATCTATCCAGTATACACGTGGCGCACATCAGGAGCTCAGCCCGGATTGTCCATTTACCACCCTGCCCCCTGCCCCCTGCCCAACGCGACCGATCACGATCAGAATTCAGATGATCCCAACCAAATGTTCATTTATTTAATAAATTGACTCGTCACTGTCCTTTTGTCTAGATAACTTATTTTGCCTTTAAGGCGACGGTTGGATGGTCCATTGGTCCTGAGCGCCCCTGCTGAATTTTCTTAACTCAGATATCACAAACTAAAAACGCCTGAAGAAAATAAAAACCTCACGCTTGAAACGTTGATCTAGCGTTTCGAAAAAAAAAAGAAAAACCTACAACAGATTGATATGCTACGATGGTGTTGGGTATTTCAAGGTGATTCTCATTTGATTTATTAGTTTTGATTAGATTGCAATTTTTACCTTGATTCTATGAAAGTAACTTCTGTAGAATCATGTTTTTCTCTTATTTTATCATTTTATGTGATGCTTAAAATGGGTTAAATAAAACTTTAAAATTTATGGCGGAATCAACTTTTCTCCTGATTTTCTAGACCATATAGACGATTGTCTACATACCAGACACCGCTTATCATCAGAAGCAAGCTGATTTAAAAGTTTTCGGCATAAAGACTGATAAGGTAATTAACATGTTTTGAATTGTTGATCTGTAGGGTAGATCATTTATAGATGGTTATGTTGGTCCAATCGAATTAATAGAATAGTAGAAGGCCAATAATATGAATATCTATCTATCTGTTCGGCTGACCAAAGGCAAAACGCCAAAGGTAGAGATCGGTTGCTGCTAGACTGATCCATCCCCCGCTAAAGCGAAAGGTCAAATAGTTCGTACAAAAGTCGTACGTTTACCAATCACCATTGTTGCTTGCTGAGGAAAAACGTGGGGGAACTTTTGTGGGGTGGGGTGGGGTGGTGCTAATGCTAGACGCCGCAGTCTTGACGAACAGGATAAACGTATTACTTATAAATGAATAAACGATAAATGTTTAGGATTCCACTTTTGCCACGTGGCCCAATAACGACATGTAGGTGTACCCAAGTTTCCAGATTTTGAAAGTGGCTGGCGTTCCGTTCCCTTTTGATTTTTGAAATTTGAAGAAGAGGGAGAGTGGAGAACTGGAGACTGGATAGTCCAGTCTAGTAGCGCATTTCCATGAACGTGCTTTGAATAAAGACGCTCCCATGTTTATTAACTGCTCCAGTATAGATCTAGTAAGTCCTCCTTCACCGATATCAATTCCAAAACCAAAACGATACGTGTAGGAAAAAGATTTGGAGACTTGTAAACCTAGGTGGCAAATAGCATTTCCTCCATGGCCCATGGGTGGTGTGACTGGTGAGGGCAGAGGTTATGGGAATGAGACTGTATTATTAATTTAAAATTAATTAATGTAAATGTTAGGTTAATCGTTGATGTAAAAACAAATTATATTATAAATAAATATTAAGGAGAAAGGATATTGACAAGAGTAGTAGGGAATTCCGTTTTGAAGGACATAAGAAAAGGCTTGTCAGTGGCAAGTGGGAATGATATAATAAGGGAATCCAAAGCGTCTCTGCAAATGTGAAATTAATTGATGAACCAAAGTCCAAGCCAACCGATAAATGATGAGTGAGGGCAAACAAAGTAGTCGGTGAATGACAAATGAACCGTTTATACATCCAACAAATGTGGAAACACATTGTGCATGAATTAAAATGCCTTGCCCACTGCTCTCTAGTCCAACAAAATCGACGAATGGATCCATACCACTATCAGTAGCTTTTATCTTCTCGAGTAGAGTTGTGCTTGCTGCTAGAGGTGGATTCGAGTCGAGTCAAGTTGTATATTTGATTATTTGAGTTCGAGTTTGATTCGAATTAGAGACTTGAACTCAAGTTCGACTTGTTTTATAATTCGTATGTTTGAACTTGATTCGGCTCGACTATAAGCTAAGCTTTTTTAAAAAAATAAAAATAAATATATAAAATTATTTTTTTTATTTTTCAGACAAAAAAAAATTATTTATTATTATACATAATATATCAGCTTCACTGCATTCGAGCTCGGCTCGATTAACAAACTAACTTATATATCAGACTCGAATTCAGCTTGAAATTCAATTTAAACCGAATCGAGCCGAGCTTGAATAGCTCGTAAAAGGCTTGGCTCGTGACCACCCCTACTTGCTGCACACTACTCAACTATTGTCAACTTATTATTATTATTATTATTATTATATAATGCTGATGCTGGACTTAGCTTCATGTCCACATCACCATATGAAAAATTTAACCTATTATTTATTTTTCTCTCGCCGCACGCTATATAGTCGTCTATCCTCTTGCATGTGCATGCTCAACTTTTAATCTTTTCACTGGCATCACAATAATTCAATACTATTAAATTGGGAACGTTTCTGGCATCAATGAACAATGACTACGATAAGCTTAATTAGGGGCCATGCCCTAATTGGTAAATGTGATGTTGGAAGAAGCATGTAGACCGTAAATGTGATCATCTATCTATATATTTATATATTTGTCTGTAGAGCAGGACAACTGATTGGTCTCTCTTGTATGTGGCAGTTGAAGACTAGAATCAAGACTTTCAGGCCTCTTTCTCTCTCTCTCTCTCTCTGCATTTAAAATATTAATCAGTGTTTGTTTGTTAGTGTTAGGATCATAGGATGGGTAGTACGTTCAATTGTACTGGGGTTGACCCTTTCTGTTACAAGAATTGACACAATACAAAAGAAAAAGCAAACTGAAATTATTTAGTTCATATAATCATATCCTTCCCGGCCGGAAATTATTTAATTAGTATTTAGAAGATGAGGCACTAGTTTAAAAATAAATTTAAAAACCCCTAAAATTTCATTAGGGTCCCCTACACATATTGTCCATTAGTAGTGATAGAGAGAGCCCATGGGCCATGGCCACACTTGTATCATCTTGATCCATTGTTAATTTCAAACGAATAATCAAAATTAACCTCCATGGAAGTCCAACGTTGGATTCTCTACACATGAACATGAAGCAAAGCAATATTGCTTTGTAATGCAATGATGCGAATCCTCTAAATAGGCCAATTGTCATTAAGAATGAAGCTGAAGAAACACAATACTCTATTTTTGTTTTTTATCAAAGTTTTGCTAAATATAAATCGATTCTCACGTAAGAGTTGATAGAAATAAATTTAAACCCTCTCAGAATAGATAAGACAACTGATTGGTCTGTTCTAATCTCCAAATGTGAACACGGGTTAAGCTAGTCTTAGTCTATCCAAGCAAACAGTATACTATATCAAATAAATAAAAAACGGGATAATAAATATGGACCTTATGGGATATCAAAGCAACGTACGACATCCTTTTTTGTTTTCAAACAGTTAATTGTGGCACTATCATTTAATAAACAAAGACAAGTGTGAACAAATAGACTTCACAGAACAGAAGCAACGACATGCTTGTCCTTTCGGATCAATGGATGGATATATATATATATATATATATATATATATATATATATATAGAAGAGGATGGTCTATACTTCTTTTAATAATAAATAAATAAGTATATATACATATACTGTATGCATACTTGTTCGTATGCTTTCTTTTCTGTTTTCTTTTTCGGTAAATAGATAACTCTTCTATGATTATATTGATTTGTTATTCTATTTTCTTTCATCAGCTTATATAATCTCTGTGCATATTTCTATCATTCTTCGGTTCCTTCCTGAACCTTCATTTCTAATGAATTATTTAACACAGTTTCTAGAAGATGAGTGAGGTGGGGGCCAAATTTCCAAATTGGCCCACACTTGCACCATCCCCTGAAACAATTTCCAAATTTCAAAGCGCAACAGCAATTCTGGCCGTCAGATCAAGACAAAAGTCATTAAATTATTCCAATCATCAAGTAGAAAGTTTAAGAATTATGAACTTAGTTTCAACAGCCACAACAACCCACCCACTTAGCACCACGATGATATCAGTTTTATTTCAATCATTCAGGTTCCCATTTCCTTCCATGTTTTAAACATTCAAATGAAAAAATAGATGAGATGAGACTTTTGCCTTTGGTAAGTGAATGCCCTTGTTCATTTTGACAAATCTGCCTGTCTATAAGGTAATTGGCGCGATGTCCAACTTTGGACCCACCTATTTTTGACCAATAATGGCTTGACTCTTCTCAAATGTACCCGATAAAGGAGGAAGGTTGCAATGTTTGCATCAAGTTGGTAGGTGGTAGGAAGGAGAAAAAACTTCTTCCAATACTTAGACGTGAATTCTGAAGCTCGTGGTGGGATGTTTCCGAGAAATTACTTAGTGTGGCTTAGCCAGGCGGTGACAAGTAGACAAGAGTTCCATATGATTTTGGATGGGTGTGGACTTTATATATCGAATAGAGAAGAGAAGAGAAGCTTCATACACAACATTACTTGAAATGTTTGATACCTTAGCAGGAAAATATATGGCATCAGTCCATATAATGAGAAGGGGAAAGGAATGTTCTCAATGTTACATGCTTCCAATAGAGAGAGTGTGTGTGTGTATGTGTACTATAATTGAAAAAACAAGTTTTTTCACATCCTTCAAAGGAGGCAAACGGTGTCCCTTGTGGCCGAGACGGTCACTCAGCATCTTCTGAATATAGAGGTG